TTCAAACCCTAACAATGGCAGCCACTCAATCCAACACTGATGAAGTTCTTTCTCAATCCCTGATGAAAATTCAAAGCACAAATTATCAAGTTGATCCAAAGGTATCTTCTTATCCTAACAGCTTGAAGATGCTTATCGTTGCCCTGAAATGATCACCTCTGTCCACTGCCATGTTCAGTTCCTTCTCTGTTCCGATGACATGGTTATCCTTGGCAGTTTCAACGACATCTTACAACAAAAGGGTCAAACTCTCCAAGAAGACGTTTGTTGAATTCTTGCAGATTCTAAACAATCCTCCATTTTTCAAACCTGTTAACTCTCAAGTCATTCACATGTTCAATGAAATGGGTCATCAACCAGAGCTTGAGAAGATTAGTGACTTTCGAAAGTCTGGGTTGCCGTGCATATGAATATCTTATTTGGAATTTTTCTCAGATGCCTAACAGGAAGATCAGTTGGACTGGATAGAGGATGAATGGAAGTTTATGCTATGGTTATGGGCATATACTATGACATCAATGTCGATTATGCAACCCAGTTATGGAAGGAATTTGTTCAGAGTCTCAAAAACACAAATTCTGAAAAAGGGATTTCGTGTGAAATATATTGGAGCTTAATTGTGGAGAAGGTTTATGAAAAAGAAGGGATTTAAGTACCGGAGGATGTTGAAGTTGCTGCATTTTCTTTGTTTCACTTTCCAAAGGAAGTAGAAGATGATGAGGCTATTTTTACTCATGTGGCTCGCATTCCCGATGCGATGCTTCGCAAGGTTTCTCAACCTCACAAGGTCTTGGTGAGATATTTGAGAACAATTGATCAATCAGTCCAGACGGGAGTATTATTAGAAGTTGCTGCTCCGTCAAGGAAGAAGAAATCCACAAAGAAGGATGCGAAAGGTTCTTCTTCAAAACAAGCTCAAGATGAAGGTTCTTCTAAATCAAAGAATGAAATAATACCTTCCAATTCTTAGGTATTGAAGAAAATTCGCAAGGCTGAGGTGAGTAGTAAAGGAGTTACTATTCGCAGTATTCCAGCTCCGGTTTCTCCAGGAAAGAAAAGGCAAAGAGTTGAACATGTTGCAAAAAACATGCAACATACTCTCTCCAAAAGAAGGAAACTGGTGATTCGCAATGAATCGTATGATGAAGAAATTGTTCCAGAAACTCCACCGGTGACGTCTACGGTAACTATTTCATTACTCATTATCCCTACTTCGCAAGTTTCTACCACCATATCACTCACCGAACCACTCAAAATAGTCACTACCAAATTAGTTTCTGAGGAGGTACCTATTTCTGATAAGGTTGTCAACGTATCTGATACGGGGGCACCTATCACGAGTGTTGAAACCACATTACCAATCACCTTAGCCATTTCTTTACCAATTTTTTCAATTCCATCTACAACTCTATCCACCACCACATCAATTTGTGATCATCCTCTTCCAAACCCTTTTACAACACTTTTTCCATCACAATCACCAGAAAATCCTCAACCTTCGCAACCTTTATCTGAAAATGAAGCTGAAGGAGGAGTCTTTGGAGGGGTATTTGCAGATATTCATTTTGATTCAGAGGAGGAGGATATTCGTGATCATATGCTTATGATAGGAAAACAATTTAAAATCCTGAATCATAAATTGAATGCTATTATTCAGTCGCAAGCTGATTCTGGCAGGATGTCTTCTATCTCAGCCATGGAAGTTGATGTAATGATCAAGGGTGCTGAGAAACGTCTAATGGAGAAGGTTGATCAATCTGATAAGAACAATGAGCTTCGCATTCAAGCTCAAGGGAATAGTTTTTCTTCGATGGTCCAGGATTTGAAAACAGTTACAAAAGAACGACATGTTCTTTTTGTACAAGATGTGAAGAAAGTTAGGGAGGATGTCAACTATAAGCTTCAAGAGTTGAAAACTGAACTTGCGAAGGAGCTCCAGGATATTCAAAATCAAAATGTTGACGTTCAAAAGCAGATTGAGGAGCTTAAAACCAACAAACAAACAACGGAGAGGTTTGATCAGCTGATCCAATTGGTGACAGAGCTTAAAAGGGTGGTTTCGCAATCTTCATATACACAAGTTCTTACTCCTGAGTTCTTGTCTCTAAAGATTAATACTTTAGAACAAGCAATTCAGCAAGCTCTTACTCCACTTGCCAATTTTACCTCTTTACTTCCAAGAGGTGCCCCACCTGCTTTCACATGGGTGCAAGGGGGAGAGAAATGCTTAAGTAAAGAGGAGGATGCAAAGACAATGGGAAAAGTTATATCTACCCAGCTTAAAACTACTCTTCCTATGCTTACGAAGCAAATTTCCTCAACTACAATAACCACAAGACCTATTGCCAAAGGAATTGTTATTGGAGAAAAATCAGGAGCTTCGAGTTCAAAACCTCAAACATATATGGAAGGAAAAGGAAAAGGAATATTATATGAAAAATCAAAGGATGAGAAGAAAGCTCAGGCTGAAGCAGAGATGGAAAGAATGAGGCAGATACAAAGTATCATGAGGCAAAGTGCAAGTGATCCTCCCACAATGAACAAAGGAGATCCAGTGAAGCTTTACTCTTACGAAACTATAGAGTCAAAAGTTATGGGGAGGGAAATGTATGAATTCGAGAAAAAGCCAAAGAAAAGTTATGACATTGCAAATTCAGAGAATTGCCAGCTAGATTTTCCGATCAATGAAATGCTTTTCATCAATGCTCAGTATAAGATCAGTGAGAAATTTGATAATCCCAATGATTATACAAACATGAAAATCAGATTTCATCAAATCCCAATGATTATACAAACATGAAAATCAGATTTCATGCTGTTTTGGGGAAGAATCCAGATGAAGTTTGGTCTTTATTGAAGATCAAAAAGGTGATGTCAATCACGAAAGATATATTCTTTGAAGACATGCTTCAAAATTTTCGTTATTTTGTTATCCGAGCAGACAACAAGCAGTATGACTTCACTGTTGCAAATTTTTCTCTGATGAACTGCAATGATTTGATTCAAGTGGCTCTGATTTTGAAGCGTATGGAAGAGAATAAGCTAAAAGGCTCTGAGACTGATGTGTTCAAGGTAGGCTTCGCACATGTCAAGACATTCATCGATAATTATTTCAATTGTTTGGCTCTTACAGATGATGAATTGGCAAATGTGTTGGGAAGAGAAGTGAAAGTTCCTTGGGAAGAAACTTTATCCCAGTCAGCACTGTCAAAATATGGTGTTGCGGAAATTTGTCTGAAACCCTTTGGTATGGTGTTTTCAGGGAGGGATACGAAATGGAATCCTAAGAAATTTTTGTTTAAAGTCTCAGAGGTGGAAAGATATAATTCTTCGCAATATACGCACTTCATGGTTCGTATAAACAATTGCAAGAAGAACAATGAAGGAGATAAGAAGGATCTCAAGAAGGTGATCTCCTGGTATGGAGAAGTGCGAAAGACAATTCACTCTGCTGTTCAAAAGCTTATAAACTGAATAGCTTCGACTGTTTACAAAGGGGGAGATTGTAGAAGTAAAATTGTAAAAGTCGAATATTGTGTTTTGTAGTGTTTCGCATTTTATGTTATTTTACTAAGTCATATTTGTGCGAAGTGTAATGTTTAGACTTTAGTATATTTTTTGTACACTCATGTTCCCTATAAATAGGGATTGAGGTTAGAAGTAGAGGGGAACTTTTACATAACTTTGTAAAACGCAAACATCCTTTCTGCTTATTCTGTAATCAGTCTTCAGCAATATAAGATCTGATTAATATTTACTTTTCGTGTTCTTACTCTTCAATTACTAAAATCATACTTTGTTTTCTTAAATCTCGATTACAATTCTCATCAGAAATTTTGAATTAAAATTAAATATTAAATATTTAATAAACTTTGAAAATTCATATCTCTCTTATACCAACTCCGTTTTCGATGTTCTTTATATCCACGCGTAAGTGAGACTACGCTCTACAACTTTCGTTTAGACTCCGTCGGCTAATTTTGACTTTATTTTTAATATTTATTTTTAGGAGGCCAGGACAGAAAAACTTCATTATAAATTCATAACTTCTTCGTCCGACATCCGTTCTCGCCTAACTTTTCATCGTTTCGCTACTAACAACGAGATCTTCGATTCTCGTTTAGATTGTTTCGGCTAAAAACTGCTCGATCTCAAATCGAGTATTCGGGCTGCATACTGCAAGTCGAAACTTCAGAAAATCATAACTTCCTCATAAGAAGTCAGATTTGGGCGTTCTATATATATTCGGAAACCTCGTTTCAACTACTACAACATTATCCAAATATATCGAGTTTATTTTACACTTCAATTTGATGCTCATTTTATTCTTAATTAATCATATCACATAATTAAGCAATTAATCACGAAACACATAATACTCAAATACTACGTTCTTATTATTTCAAATTGGGTAACAAAGGTTAACCTAGACTATCACATTGCTAAAAATGGCAAGCCGAGAAACACGGGCGTTACACAAATGACCCTAACCCATCGGCAATCGCAACCCTACCATCGCAGCGCTACCACCAAATCAAAAGCCATAGGAAGACAGGAAGACCGCTCTAAGCCCTAAGGTCTCGAAATTGTAGGTTTAAGTCTCATCTATCTTCTCTTAGTGTATGGAGTACTAGAATTTATGAGCACATTCTCTTAGTTTCATCGATTTTGACAATTCATAGGGATACAATGGCCGATCCATCGCCTGATGTATAGGAATCGTTTGGAAAATACTCTGATGATGGGATCCGTATGAGTTTCGATCAACTGCTACTGTTCATTGAGGAGTTCCAAGGCAACGATGGTGCCTCAATTTCAATATATCTAATCGATTCCCGAGTTTACGTTATCTTATCCAACATAACAAACTCCATTAAAAATGATTTGACCATAAATTGATTCGTCTGTGACTATCGACAGGTAAGTTATCTATTTAGTTTTTTTTGTTTCTTTTTTCTCTTTTAGCCAAAATTGTTTGTGCGTTCTCTTAATACTCTTTCATGTTCAGGAAAACATCTGTAAGTTTGCAAAAAAAACGTCTCACCCTATCCCATATTGGTGTTATTCTTCATCATTCCCATGGTATTGCTCAGGTGAATAGCGTAACTGGGAGCAAGATTCTCATGATTCTCAAAGCAAATAGTAAGCATTATCATTCTCACAATCTTATTTAGATCTTAATGTTATTCTTGTGTGTGCACTCCAAGGTGTGTAATTAACTTGAAAAAATGTTATATTGTTTGTGTTTATGGCTCTTTTTTTAGTTTTTGGTATTATATGTTTTATGCTATGTCATCTTTTTTAGGTATTGGGATTTCAGACAATAGAATCCAATCCACACACAACAACTACCTGATTGTTGCTATAGACTTACAGTGAGACATCCTTTGATGGTTGTTGCAACAGCAGATAGAAATCTTATAGCATTCAACTTACGAAACACCCAGGTAAATTGTTTTTATATAATTCATACATTCATGTATCTGAGGCCACATTTTGTATCTTTTTCAAGAAAGTTTTTAGTGTGATGGAATTGGACACAAAATGCAGTCGTATAATGAGTTTTTCCATTACAATACTTAGACTTATTCCATTCCATTCATTTCTTTCTCATTCCATTCCATACAACCAAACATACCCTAATTTCCAAAAAGTTAACTGAGTTTACTTTTATGTTTAACGGGCAGAGTGTAAAAGAATCTTCTCCCCCTTAAAATACCAAACTAAGTGTGTTACTGCCTTTCCTGATCAACAAGGTTTCTTAGTATGTCTTTTATCGTATTATTTCTTCTATTTAAATAAAACAAATACATTTGTAAACTGAAATAATGTTTAATTTCGGTTTATAGGTGGGATCCATTAAAGGAAGGGTAGGTGTGCATCATCTTGATGAACAACAAAGTAGTAAAAATTTCACATTTAAATGCGATAGAGAAGGAAACGAAATTTATTTTGTCAATTCTCTTAACTTCCATCTTGTAAGATATGTTTTTACTTACTAACTCCCTATAAACCCTAAATTCTGAACCCGAAACCCTAAACCCTAAATTGTTTGTCTTGTTTTGTTCAGGTTCATCAAACTTTTGCAACTGCAGGATCTGATGGTGCTTTTAACTTTTGGGACAAAGATAGAAAACAAAGATTAAAGGTATCTCCATGAAAACCCTCTATAATTTTTGGTTTCATAATTTTTAAAATGCTTATTATGTTGTAATGGTGGAATGAAGAGTGAAGACACAAGAATGTGGAAGAAATGAAGCCTTATACAAGTAACTGGGTATTTGTTTCTTTTTTCCTTACTCTATTATTTTTTTAATTCTATTGATTCATTTTTCTTTATAATTTTTATATATTGAAAGAAGTTAATTATATTGAACTATTACAAGTCAATCACATATGAATTATATGTGATTCACATGTAATTCACATATGAATCACATGTAATTCACATATGAATTACATGTGATGTTCATGTAAATCACATGTAATTCACATATGAATTACACATTATTCAGATATAAATCACATATGAATTACACGTGATTAACATTTAAATCACGTATGAATTACACGTGATTCATATGTAATTCACAAAGGAATTACATGTGATTCACATGTAAATTACATGTAATCACATATGAGTTACATGTGATTCACATGTAATTCACATATGAATTACATGTCATTCACATATAAATTACATATCATTCACACTTAAATCACGTATCTATTTTTGTGAGTATATTTGCATCAATCATTTTTTTTATTTCTTGTAGATTTGGAAGAAATTGTGGTGAAAATATTGAAGAGGTGAAAATGATAAAATGAAGAAAATATGAAAATATTGACACGAAGACATTAAAACACATTGAAATTTTGTAGCATTTTTTTGTTTTTTATATTTAATTTTGTATCGAATAAAATACTTATTCTACTGTGTTTATAGATTAGTAAATAAAATGAGTTTCCTTATGATTTCCTTACAAATATTATAGTATATGAAATATGAATACATATATATATATATATATATATATATATATATATATATATATATATATATATATACTCATATTTCCAATGCTTTTAAAAAAATTGCAGTTTTTTTAAAATATATATATATATTTTTTTTCAATTTTATTTTTCAAAAAGTCATGTTTTATATAAAAAATTAAAAAAGTTGTATTTTTTTCTAAAAAGAAATTGAAAAATACTTTTTTTTAATCTGAAAGTTGTTTCTATTAATATTTTCAATAACACAAAAAATTAAGCAATAAATGAGATTAGTAAGATTACGATCATGCCCTTAATGAATTAGTTTTGATCTAACTCTCCACTTTTAGTTATCGGGTTCTTGGGAAACTATGGGTTCTCAACCGATCTCACCCCTATATATAGGTGTGTATGAGATCCAACAAACCCTCACCTCTTTCTCAAGTACCAGTGAAAGGTGACTTGGTAATCTTTCCAAGCAAACAAGATTCACATGTGTCATCCGACTTTAAGTCAAATGACTCCAACACTCCATCCTTTTGGAGTTGGGCTATGTGCTTCTTGTTGACATGTCCAAGACAACAATGCCACAAGCATGCCTTGTTCAAACCTTCGGATGATTCAATATGCAATACATTATTTCCTATGTTGTCTACAACCATCATAGTTTCATATACACCATTACAAGGCAATGCTTCAAAATAAAATTAACCATTATAAAAAGCTTTAATAGAACCAATTTCATTATTAAATGAAAATATAAACCCTTCTTTACAAACCATGAAAGGAAATAATATTTCTCTCCATATCAGACGAGTAGCAACAATTACTAAAAACTAATTCTAACCCACTACTAAGCAATAAAGAATAAACTCCAATCTTGGTGATAGGCGACACTTTCCTATTCCCCATGATCAAGTTCATCTTCCTATGTTCCACATCCTTACTTCTTTTTAGACCCTACAAATCATAACAAATGTGGAAACCACATCCTATATCCAGGACAGAAGAATTAGCATGTGATGAGTTATTAGACAGAATAGTATAAATACCTATGAAGGCGTCCTTTATCTTCCCATCCTTGATGTCCTGCAAGTGTTTGAGGCAACTTCACTTCCAGTTCCTTTTGTCATGACAGTGGAAGCACTCTGTTTCTTTTGGGTTGGAAGAGGGAGTAGCAGAACCACCTTTGGTCCCACCAGAAGAGTATCCACCATGGGACTTTCCCTCGTGGCTCTTAGAAGAAGCCTTTGTCTTCTTCCCTTTCCCATGTCTAATTGCTAGGACTGGAGCAGCAGCAGTAGGACTAGGAACAACAGATTTGCCTTTCAAACTACTTTCAGTAGTTCTCAGTAGGCCTTGAAGCTTACTTAGAGTAACCTCCTCCTTGTTCATATGATAAGTCATTCTAAATTGATCATAACAAGAAGGTAAAGAGTGTAAGACAATGTCAATGTCCAACTATTCATCGAAGTTGACATTCAACTTCAGCAAGCGGTCCACAAACATTTGCATCTTTTGTAAGTGGGTCGTGATGGACTCTCCATCCTTTATTTTTTTTGTTATCATGGAGCCAATGATTTCATACCTTTCCTATCGATCACTTTGATTGTACCTTTCCATCAAGTCTTGGTGCATCTTGAAAGGATAGTAGCCCCCTCATATGACTTTTGGAGTTCAGCTGTCATAGTGGCAAGCATGATGCACGACACCTTTGTCGCGTCCTTCTCATGAGCCCTATATTCAGCAACCTCTTCAGGAGTAGAGGTTGCTTCATCCACCTCCTTAAGCTCTTTATCAAGGATATATTCCTTGTCCTTGTAATAAGTGACCATTCGAATGTTCCGAATCCAATCATTGAAATTTGATCCATCGAAAATGACCCGCCCACACAATTTCATGAGAGAGAAAGAGCCAGAAGGGTTTGAGCCAGAAGCGGTGTTGGAAGACATCTGTAAAAATTAAAAAAAAAAAAAAAAAACAAAGTTTAGATTAGATAAGAATTCTTAACATAACACTCAAATGGAATATTAAGGCTAGGACCCAACACAATATTTCACAATTCATAAAAGGGATGTCGTAATCCAATTGCAAAATATTTGAAGGTATGTAAATGACTATTTACCAATTTCCACCATGAAAAACAAAAATAGTATTACATTTTAAATGAATTGAAATTCCTAGATTCTTTTGAGATTAACTGAACTTTTCAATGACATGTTTAAATCTCGATTATGCCTTTCAAGTTTGTGATTGGGATACCGAGGATCACAAACAAGGTGTGAATAACCATGCAAATATATTTGGTACTCCCAATGTTATTTATCACCTAATCAATGTGCCAGTTAACCACACACGCTCCATTGATCTATGACAAGCATCAAGCCACCCTTTACCACCCTTGTTAGTCCAAATTAGTGTGTCGGTTAATCGCACACGCTCCACTAACGACTTGGCAAGGTGCAAAGTGCAATTTCATGGAATAACATCCTTTTCAAAATTTTCCTAAAGTAACTAAGATTGGGAATTTATAAAACATTAAGCCAATTTATAATTATCCTTATACTTTTTAATGAGAATTAATTTCCTATCCTACCCATTCGACTAACAAACCTCCGCCAATCAAGGAAGCGGTGGACACGTTAGGATATTACTTTAGGGGATATCCAAGCCATTGAGGAGCCTACTCAAGCTACTGAGGATGATGAACTAGAGGCTCTTCTTCCCTATAAGATCTTATAACCGGGAAGCGTATGTAGAACTTCTGGAAGGAAGACACTGGCGAGTAGACCTGTGAGAGCCCCCCATCAAATTTCGATATCTTACCTTTCAAAGAGGGTATAAGAATGGGAAGTCGGGATATCTCAATCTTCCAGATTTCAAGCAGTTCAAAAGATTCATCCCTAATTCAATCCCATTTGCTCTTGCTTTCATTTACCCCTATGCTTCTACTTTATTCGTCTATGCCTATGCCTCCAGGGATGGATCCAATTTCCTATCCTTTTTGGAATCGTTGATACATGTGTTATGTTACGATGGCTTTGGATGAGAGAGGGTGGTTGTAGATCATATTTTTGTAGCAAAGCTAGGTTGTTGAGTTTGAGCTATGAGTTTGAGCTATGACTTCTGATCTGAGCTAGTCTTTCAAATTTGGTAGGGGACATGAGGGATAGTTCCTCATTACCGAAATTCCCTTACAGTTCTAGAAGGTAAGAGAAGCTAGGCCGTTTGAGTTCTAGTAATCAAGCCAAACTAGAGTTCTAGAGAGAAGGCAGTGAATGGAGTTGGCGGTTCGAATTCTTGGTAGGACGGATGGGACCCATAGTTAACAAGTAGCTTGGCTCAACCTTCTCTTTCCTTTGACAAGGAAGCTAATGCTCCAGCTTCACTTTCTACTTCGCTTGCTTTCTCTAACAAGACAAGTAAAGTACCTTAATTCACTTACAGAAAGATAAGGTATTCCAAGCGGGTGAAAGTATAGAGCTACTAACCAGAGTCAGAAAAGTTGGTTGGAATTCAAGAAAGAGAGAAATAACTCCCGATCAGGCTACAAGTGGGACTAGAAGCGAGGGCCGCTATTCCGGTCAGCTTGTTAGAAAGAGAACTAGAACCCTATAGACAACTACTCTCTCTTTCTAACAGTAAACTAAACTGCCTTCCAGTCGCCCCACCAACGCCTTCTCTCCCTATCGGTCGAACTTTTCCATCCGGGAAAGGGGATCGATTACCTTTCTTAGCTAGGAGAAAGTCATTGTCATCACTCTCTCCTTGAATCGCTCGAATAAAATCGTACCTAGCCTCTTGTCCATAACCTATCCCGAAGCTCTCAAGCGACTGATTTCACACAAGTAGTAGGACCTTCTTGTATAGTGGAGTTAGAATAGGCTCTAGAATAGTCGAATTAATGGTCAGTCTCACTCTCCACCTTGCTGCTAGATAGGACAGGGCTTTTCATATGCTTGAGATAAGATAAATCTTTTTTAGGCATTAAATAGGCCAAGGGAAAAGTCTCATTTTTACATAGATGAGAAGAAACTTTAGAAATTCATGCTCAAGTCTGTCACTTTGAAGATAGGATGGTATCGACCCGGACAAGGGGGCAAGATTCACTAGCTTAGGGCCCCTTTAGTAGGGAGGAGAATCGGTAGGTTCCATTCCGCCCATCGATTCAATAAGATTAGTTCAATTAGTAAAGGTCGAATTGAAATATATTATTATCATAGACAAGACCAGGGAAGATGCCCCCAATAGAAGGCAATTTTTT